TCGGCCTCAGCTTCCTGGCCGGCAGCGGCGCTGGTGGCATCATCCAAGAAATCGAACTCGGTATAGCCCGGCTCGCCGAGGCCGGAACTTTCTATGGGGGACTCCCGCTCCGACAGCGGAAGCGCGGCCTGCCCTTCGGGATCCTTCATCAGCTTTGGGAGCTTCAGGTTTCGTCTAGCCCATCCGGCCGTGTAATTCATGGCCTTCAACGCCCGGGATAGCCGCCGGTACAGGAGCCTTTGCATCCGCTCCTGCCCCAGGTTGTAGTAAACAGACATCTCCTGGCTGAAATACTCCCGGCCGGCAGGGGAGTTCATCCCCCAATTCTCCAGCCTGGCGGCCACCACCTCGTAACACCAGGGGAGCCTCTCATCGGCCTTCCACCCTTCGGCCAAGAACTTCTCAACAGCCTCATCGGCAGCCCTCACAACGGCGGCTTCGGCCTCAGCTTTCGCCTTGGCGGCCTCCTCGCTCCTGCGCTTCTCGGCCTCAAGCGCTCTACGGGACTCTGCGAGCTCCCTTTTGCTCTCTTCGAGCTGGACCAGGGCAACGTCCCTGGCCGCGACGGCCTCATCAGCTTTTGCCTGCAGCGCCTTGGCATCCTCCCGGAGCCGGTCAAGGCAAGCTACCGCCTCGTCGGCCGAGGCAGCCTTCTGCTCCAGTGCTTGCAGGCGGGCAATCTCCCAGTACTGCCTCTTATGGCTTTCCATAAGCATGAAGGCACTCTGCAGAAGAAAAACTAAGGTCAGGCAAAAACTCTACATAGCCGAAGAAAGACAAGGATATAAGGACAATCACTTACTTGGACGAGGAGATCCATGCCACCCTCGTAGATCTTCGGCTCCTCGAGCTTCTTCAGATGAGTCCGATCTTTGGACGGCATGGCCTTGGCCAGGACGACATGGCCGGGGACGAGCTCATTGAACACGCCCCCGCCGACGGGATACTCTATCACTTTCTGATAGGTAGCACCGGCAACCTCTTTGCCGGCCCTCTGCGTCCGTGGTTCCTGGACGAGAGGAAGCGCTGGGGCGGCACCATCAGCAACAGTAAGGTCCACGACGGGACCACCATCGCCCACGCTGGGGACGGTAAGCGTACCGGCCTCACTGGCAGGTGAAGGGGAAGGAGCCCTCTTCGTCTTCTTAGAGACGCTCACGCCGGCCTCGGTCAACTTCTTCTGGCCGTCAGTGGCCGGTCTCTTTTTCTTGGACGGGGCAGGCTTTGGGGCCGCATCTGCATTAGCCCCGCCCACACCGGCCGCGGCACGCCTGGCCGCTTCAGCCGCCTTAGCAGCAATCTCCTCGGCCGCTTTGGCCTTCGCAATCGCCATCATAGAACGGCGGTCCATGACAAAATCTACAAGGGAAAAGCACAAACAGATTAGTAAGGCAAAGGACAAAACGTAAAGACACAAAGCCGAAGAAGAATTACCATCGGCCTCAGCGAGAATGCCCAAAGGCGGGCCATCGGCCTCCTCAAAGTTGGTGGTCATCCTCGGCCAGAGTTGGAGGTCATCCTCCTTATCTCCATACAAGTGATATCTGAAGAAGCCGAGGGCCGTCATCTTGTATTCAGTGACGTAATCTTTCACGCTCCTCGGCCCCCCTTCCAGGAAAGCCTCCACCTGAGCGTCCAGAATAGAGCTCTTCGGCGGGTCATGAAGGTTGAACCTCCCGGTGTGGCCGAGGGAGGGGAACTCGGTGCCACTCTCACCAATGGACACAAACACGAACTTGCTCTTCCACCCATGAATGGACGTAGGCAAATCCGTGAAGCTCCTCTTCCTCGGCAGCTGTTGAAGAGTGGCATAGGCCGCACAGTTCTTGTGGCTTCCTCGGCCGATCTGGTACAAGTTCATGAATAAGGCCGTGGTCGGCCTGTAGCCCAACTCCTCACACCGAAGCAAGAAGCCCACTATCAAGGAATAACTGTTCGGCGTCAGCAGGGCCGGAGGAAGCCCCACCATGTCCAGATACTCGGTGACGAAGGGGTGAAGGGGGAACCTCAGCCCCTTAGCAAAACTCATCGGGTATACTCCGAAGTATCCCGGTGGCGGAAGTAGAACATGGTCCGTCGGCCTGGGTGCCCTAACCCGCCCGAACGGCCCCACGTACATCTGGGCGACAAGATAGTCGGCCTCACTGCTCTCCGGCTTAATCAGGAATATGTTGGTAAGGTCCAAGTAGGAGAGACCCGGCCCATTCTTCGGCCTCCTCACTCTCTTCGGCTTCGATGCGCCCTTCACGGCAGACACCGGCTTCGGGCACGGAACGGCAGCAGAGGTGGACGCCCCGTCCACCGCTCGGGACGCACCTACGTCCTCACCCTCTGAAGAGGAGGCGGACTCCTCGTCCTCGATCTCCTCGTCCATTAGCTCTACAGATTTGTAGGGGCTCAAACGCTCTATCTCCTCTTCAAACTCCTCGAGCACCTCGTAGTCAAGGGACCTCGTGGAGGGCTGGTCGTCGTAGGGGTAGTAGTCCTCGTTCAAACTCTTCATTACTACTACGGGCTTAAGGAGAACTTACGATCTAAGGGTGTTTAGATGCCTAACACTAGATCAACTACTTACGGAACAAAATATGAAAAGTGAGGAAGATCGTGATGAACACTAACCTCAAACAATGAAGAACACGAAGAACAGGCTTGGGAGTTTCTCTCTAGAAAATCGGCCAGCACTTCGACAAATTCAGAATGCAAATGTGATTCTTCGTCGGAGGGGAAGGGGTATTTATAGACCCCCCCACCAACGGTCACTACACGTGGCACTCACCAAATGGCCACATCAACGGCGACCACTGGGGGGCCACCACGTCACTAACGGGCCAGGACCAACCCATATCAACGGCCCACTGGCAAATCAGACTCTACGGCCTACACACGCTCAACGGCTTTACAACTGCCAGCAAGCGCCCTCAACGTCCCATTTGCTCACCAATATCACAAATGCCAAACAATAAGAGGATGGCAACGGCCAGGTACGTAACGGCCACAGAACAAAGGGAACAAATAGCCCACAGCCTTCGGCTCCTCGTAATAACCCTTGATGATAACTCTCTACAAGCGATCTGCGCACAAGGGTTCTCCCACAGGGTTACCTTGGCCAGAAAATCGCCATGAGAGTTGGATTCAGGGGGACTACGGCGAGACCGCTTCGGCCAAGGACTCAGGCAACTCCTTCACCCCTCACTCTCTTCGGCCTGAAGCAGTGGGGGACTGGGGGACTACACCGGCCTCAACGAAACAAAGGTATAAACAAGGTAACCACAAAACATGGCCACATCATCCATACAGCACAACAGAACCTCATCGGCCAAAGGCCCATAACGTCACTAGCAACGGCCAACAAGCCACTAGAGGCAAGGACACTCATCGTCCTCCGCCAACAATTAATCTTGACGGGCTCTTCGGCCAAAAACACAAAGGAACAACCTCAACGGCCTCACCGGCCCAAACGTAAACTTCAAACACCAACGGCCAGGAAAGGGAAAGCGCGCCCTCAACGGCCACCATTGAAGGAAGGACACTCATCGTCCCAAAACACATTAAGGAAATGACGGCCTCCCCGCCCACAGCAAGGAACAGGTAACGGCCAAAGCACAGAATAGGATCACCAGAGAGGAAACAACGCCAACGCCACAACGGCTAACAGCCTGGAAATGCCCGCGTCGGCCAAAAGCAACAAAGCACAGAAATCTACTCTCCTTCACTTCGTCTACGTCTCAGCTTAGAGAGTGGGGGACTCCTGATGGAGTATATGGGTCTGAGCCCCAGGACCCACATACTCGGAAGAACAGAGCACAAGACAGAGTGGCGCCCTCGTCGGCCAAACGCCCTCGTCGGCCGAGAGGAAGCCAACCCGGATCATGATCCCGAGTCCAAGGAACCCGGGTGCCCCCGTCGGCCGTGCCCTCGTCGGCCGTGCCCTCGTCGGCCACGACCTCGTCGGCCACGAGGACCTCCCAGAATCGGATCCTACACTTACTCACTTATACAGCCCATTAGTGGCTTTGTATTCGGTCCAGTAGCGGTCCAGTTGTAAATGGGCCTCCCAAGCCCAAGGCTTGGGAGCCCAACCCTAATTTTCTCTATAAATACTCCCCTTGGGAGTAGTTATAGGGGGGACAAAAATTCATTCTATTGAAGCATATTATTGCACTTCTCTCTCTAGCTCTCACTTCTCTCTAGAATCTAGGAGTTAATACTCTATCAAATATTATTGATGTCGTAAAATGGAAAGTCCAAAATATTACAGCACCCGCGCTTTGCTCCTTAAGCGCGCTTTTTAGCACTTTTTATAAGTTTGAATGCAACACACCACTACTGCAATGTTCTCTCCAACGAAAAACTATGCCAAACTTCTGATAAAGCTTTCTCAGATCTGCCATTTGTTCGAGTTCGCCGGAACAACATATTCAGTGCTCAATATGTTTGTTCGTCAACCACCGTATCATGCAAAACTAATGTTGCAACGCTTCTAACACCGTGAGAATCGACGAATTGGTTTTAAGAACATTGTGTGTTGCACAAGTTTCGATTGTACATATGCTAGTTCTTTGTCGGTTCATTCACCTATTTTTAATTTCTTATTTTTCGAAAAAATAAACCAACGTATTCCATTACAAAAGCCCGGTTTGGACCGGTCCGAAGCCCGACCCAGCCCGGAACCGATCCATGCCTAGTCCTACACATGAAATTTGTGAGATAAAAATTGGGAACCATGTGTTAGAATGTGTAAGATAATAGACATCCTCATTGGAGATCCTCATTTGAGATTAATATTCAAGGTGTTAAAGATCAAGAAAATTGAAACTTTTAGTACGAGCAGAGGTTAATAATTTTAATAAGATCAACAAAATTTTAAAATCTTAATAAGCCTATATACTCCATATATTTTTAAATACTCCATATATTTTTAGTCCCCTCAAATATGACACTTCGTATCAAGTCTCTACAAAATAATTTTTTATTTTTCATCCATGTCAATGATGTCATGCATTATTTTATTTTTAGTCCATCACTAACTCCAAAACCGCTCTACTGAATTATAATATAATCTCATAACCACTTATATGTAAAAATTGAATATAAGTTACATGGACTAAGTTACTACTATAGTCATTACACTTGAGTACTTGACTACTTGAGCCATATTTTAGTCACATATATATAAATATTTCATTCATGAATACAAACTGAACCTTGTATTTGCGAATAAGCAATAAAACTCAAAAAGAACCAGTAACTGCAACCCCACACAGGCAAAGGATTCGAAGGAGACGTCACCTACGTTTGGTTAATAGCGGAGATTGGCTTCAATCCGCCGTTTTTTCCAAATGAAAACGCTGCATTTTGCAGCGGTTTGGTCCAAATCCCCCAAAAAACAAACAGGGCCGTCAACTGAGCAAAAACCGGAACAAGAAAGAGCTAAACTCCATTCTCCTCTCTTCTTGATATCATTATCTCTACCAACTTCTCCACAATCAACTTAATTGCAGGGGCGCTTGCGGGACACTTGTTATCCGTAAAACAAGATCTCCCTTCCTCAGCTGCCTTACCGAGTTGGGGATCCAAAGGTACGGCACCAAGAAACGGAACACCCATATCACTGCACATTGCAGCGGCCCCACCCCGGCTAGTGTCAAACACTTCGCTATAAGCAAACACATTCAGCATTTCCGGCGCCTTCTCCCTCATACATTCCATGACCAAATCCGTAATATCCACCTGCTCCTCACTTTCAGTAATCCTCATGAATTTAAACTCTGATAACGGCTGGCAAAGACCGCTCATGTTCTCAACAACTCCAAGAACGAGTAGCCCAACTTTCTTGCAAAAGCTTATTTCCTTCCTTACGTCTATGAGAGACACTTGTTGTGGGGTAGTGACGATGAGGGCTCCATCTATTCCTGTTGACTGGAGGAATTGGACTATGGAGATGTGCTCATCCGACGTCCCAGGTGGGGCGTCAACCACAAGAAAATCAAGATCGCCCCAATAAACATCCTTTAGGAACTGTTTGATTAAACCATTCTTGCGTGGCCCCCTCCATATGACGGCCTCATCAGGGTCAGGGAGCATGAATCCAATTGACATGACACCAAGGTTGGACTCAACATAGACAGGGGACCATCCAAGGTTGCTCTGGTGAATCTCTTGACCTTCTAGACCGAGCATCTTAGGTATACTTGGACCGCAGATATCAATATCAAGGAGACCAACTTGGAAATCCATGGCAGATAGTGTGAATGCAAGCTGGGCAGAGAATGTGCTCTTTCCGACCCCACCCTTTCCTGATAAAACAAGTATTTTGTGCTTCACTGTTGCCATTCTTTCTACTATTGCTACCAAATCTGCAAGGAGTGCAATAAAACCAGAAGTATTATATTAATTTCTGTGTTCAAATATTCAATGTGCTGTTGCATTTACACGTCAAACATTATTTTATGATAGTCGGCTTATATTAATATCGATAAATCATGCAACACAACCTCGAGACAGTTATTACATATCCGATCGTAAGCCCATGAATAGACTCGCTAAACACAAAACAGACAATTTTAAGCCTAAAACAACCGGGACCGAAGCATTGCCCATCAAAAGTACTCCAAATATTCAAATATCCAAACTAAACCTACTCAAACTAAAATAAAAACAAGTACAACTAGAGAAAAGATAATACTGAAATAAAGTCTATCCACAAATATCTTCTTGGCACAAAGGTAGTACACATAGAACATTTTTTGCCTTTCAAATAATGGATATAAGTGTTTCTACCACACAATCAGATGAATAGAGTCATATAGTAAAGAGTATAGCACAAAAATTAGTACAAAAGTTAACTTTTTTTGTTTTGCTGATTTGGCTAAATGAAAGGAAATGGCATTATTAACCTTATTCTTGAATGTAATTTCAAGCATTACACACACAAGAAATATTTGTAAATAATCCAGCTCACTCATCCAATAAGACAACTCAACAACAGAATCCAATTATAAGCAACTCAGCCATTTTCTATCCTTACCATACTAAGCACCCGAAGTCCTAAGTAATACGCAGTGTAACTTTTCACCACCAAATTAATATGTGCCGTGTAAGAAGTACCCAATAAATGTACATAAAAATGTACATGTATCATTACACCAGGAGAGACACAATTAAGGGAGTGGACATGAAGAGTTCCTAGGCGCAGCAAAAGCATACGAAGCACATAAGCCATAAGGTGCACACTTAAAGCGACTAGCGTGATGGTCAAGATTTTAAGCTGATTTTTGTTTCCACAGGGATTAGGGCCTATTTTTCCAGAAGCCCACATTCATATGTACACATCAGTAGGTTATCTGATCATTTTTGTTGCATATAGTTCATTTTTATAATGAATATATCATGTTTGATAAATAAAGAATAATATAGATACTATTTTCACGAGGGCTGTAAACAAGTCACGTGTGAGACTCTAGCACCTTGAGTGAGCTTTATGCTTTCGAGTTTCGACTACCTTGTGTGTGCCATGTAGTTAATGTACACAATAAATAGCAGAGCAGCTCGTGCACATTGGCATCTTTACAAGGCGAGGCTCCGGGAAAGGTCCTACCACAATGGTGTAAAGGAGCAAGTCTTCCCTTATCATATTGACAAGAGGCCTTCTAATAGGACCTATATAGTACTAGTTATAAGAATAATATTGAGTATTGGATATTGTATAATAAGAGTCCTAGGAAAAATAACTTAGGGCTGAGGGCCGGCCCATTAGAAAAGTATTATAATAATGGGCAGGTATGGGGAAAAGGGGTAAGCAGAACTTGGGACTTGGGCTGGGATTTTGGGAGAGATAGGACTGCTCTAAATGCCAAATCCTTCATTGTTTAATTTCATTCTTCATTTACATTCATAAGAGAGATCAATTTCCCTCTTTTGATCGTGGTTTCTATCATTGGTATCAGAGTGAGAATGCCCGTGACCAGAGCGAGGATGGAAAACCGGCTAGATAACGTGAAACGGAAGATGAGCAACATGGAACGGAGAGTGGAGAAGGTACGATCGCAAATGCAGGAAATGCAATCGACAAATGGGAGGGATGCAATAGCAAATGGAGGGGATGCAATCGAGTCTGGATGAGTTGAGCCAGATCATACTCCACCAAGGTCGCCGGAGACCTAGAGGCCGGTTGAGAAACCCTAGGCGCCATCGGGAGCCTGAAAGCCAAGGTTCAACTTCATGGCAAACATCTTCCCCATGTTCACACACTTCATCAATCTGAAGATTCCCTATCGCATGCTTCGTCACTCACCAATCGTCATCGCCCAGTTCGCAGTTGTCGCTAGACGATTCTCAAAGTTCGCAGACTGTGTCGCAATCAGAAGTCCCCAGTTCGCAGTTGCTCGTCTATCCCCACAGTTCGCAGACCTCGTTGCAATCGGTTGTTCTGAGTTCGCAGGATTGGTCGCCATCAGCTTGTCACAGTCCACAAGTTCCATTGCTAGGTCTGTAGCCTGTGAGCTGGCGGCAAGCCGGCAACCTTCCTCTGAAACTTCTGAAAATGGTAATAATCCGAATGCGTTCATAGATGGCTATGATGAAAGTGAGAATAGAGTTCAGCCAGTAACTTCTGAAAATGGTAATAATCCGAATGCTCCACATGATCAAAATCTTCCCCACAATGTTGAGATTGGGCTAGAGCCAGACACTGAGGTTGCAGGAGTGCAAAATATGAGACTGTTGGGAGTTACTGTCAATCCTAGCTCAACAGGTGAACTGTCAAATGGAGTTGAAGCATTGTTTAGCTCAGTATTTTCTGATGAGCAGATTAAAGAGGATGAGAATGCTAAGGGGATGGACACAACTTCTGCCACTGGTGAGGTAATTGATGCAGTAAGGAACATTAAGAAGGATGAAGAGTTAACGTTTGATCACAACTATGTTCCTGTGTGGTGCTACTGCTGCAAAAACAGGTGTAGGTGGTAAACCTCAGGAAAGCAAAGAAACATTTGTTGCTATTGAAGGCTTGAAGGCTACTTTGTTGCAGAAACATTTGTGATTTGGAAGGATCAAGTTCTGAAGCTCCTCGCTCAGAAATCAGTGAGATATTGGGAAGAAAGAGGTGTGAGGATGAAGCCGAATGGCATGGCTGCTTCTTACTCCCCCACCTTGAGGACAAGGTGGTTGTCAAGGAGGAGTGATGATAGGACCTAGATAGTACACCCTCCGTCCCAATTTGATAGTCTCATTTCTTTTGGGCACAAGTTTAATAAAGTGGTTGAAAAGGTAAAAGTTGTGGTTGAGATTTGAAGATAATAAAATGAAATGATATGGACCACATCTTTCTTTCCAAAAAGGGAAAAAAGACCATCATTTTGGGACATCCCAAAAAAGGAAATACAGGACCATCATTTTGGGACGGAGGGAGTACTAGTTATAAGAATAATATTGAGTATTGGATTTTGTATAATAAAGAAGTCCTAGGACCAATAACTTAGGGCTGAGGGCTGGCCCATTAGGAGAGTATTATAACAATGCGCAGGTAAGGGGGAAAAGTGATAGACAGAACTTGGGACTTGGGATGGGATTTTGGGAAAGATAGGACTGCTCTAAGTGTCTAATCCTGTTTTGTTTCATTTCATTCTTCATTTACGTTCATAATAGACATCAATTTCCCTCCCAAGACATAAACCCATGAACTCTCGGTCACACATCAATATAGTAACCGGTGCACCAAGATTTCCCTTCGAAATAAACATGCATATGTAAACTTATTCTTAACTATAACCTACTTAACTATAACCTACACACTGAACTTACTGATGTTCAAAACCCCAATAAATAATTTGTTCCTGAGAAATGCAATAGATTGGCATGATTCACACACTCAAAATGTTCCAAGAGATTTTGAGGTTAGCTAGTATTTAAGGTAAAAAATTGAAAAACTTTATAGATGTAGAAACCGAAGATGAAGTTTATGTAAAATCATAAAGTAGTGGCCAACACCAACTCTCTGAGATAGCACAAATGATTTTTCACTGTCATATGAGGGACGAAAGCCCAGGACAACAGGTGTTTTGTTTGGTACTTAGATGTATACATTTAAGAATCGGATAATAAAACGAAACAGTACTGGTGAGTAGTGATTGCCCAACAACTAGTTGTGGTGGAAATCCTTTGCCACATATGCAGGAAGAATCCAAAGGTGTAAACACAATATTTTCATACAAAAATAGTTGACGAATCGTAATAATATTACAATTGGAAAGTTTATGCAAGGTATTGGAAAATCAAAGGCAACATAGTAGAGTCAGGCTAACATATGTTCTCCCAATGTCACAGGATATGCAAAACATGCAAAAGACATAACCTTTGAGGAGCTCATGGACATGAAACCCGAAACAGGCGTAAATAAATTTAGATCTCCTTTTGGTACAACTAAGAGTACGAAAAGTGAATAAATTGAAGTCTCTGTTTGGAAGCCATGGACGTAGCTTGTATGCAGAATAAGTAGCTTTTTCGTAAATTACAGTCACCATCCAAATAGCACTTACAAAAGGGGCATTGTGATTTTCATGGAAACGCAAAGCAGGACATAACCTGGGTCAGGGCCTTTGGGAGCAGTAGCACAAATTTGCTGATTGGGGCAACCTTGGCACGCATCGGATTTCCCTGCATCTTCCGATTGAGTACCGGGACAGTCTGAAAAAGAAATCACAGCATGAAACACAAACTGGAAAAGAAAAGAATAGTCAAGCAAACCCTAGCCACTGGCTGGGCAAAGAATATTCGTTACTAACGTTCAGGAGCGTTGTCTGGAACTCCATTGCTTCCTCCACCGTTGTCCATATTCTTCTTCTTCACCACAGCTGAGGGCGGATCCAAGATTCAGATGTGGGGTGAGATAAGCAGTAAAAATAATTGTTAATATACATAGAAGGTTTAGCTCAGGGCTGTTATCGGAGTTTTTTTTCGAAATATATACTCGAGTTCGAGCTTGATTTGACCTCTAATTTAATGACCCGAGCTTAACGAGTTTTGAACTCACACACAGACTAGGTTTTGAGTTTGAATAATTATTCAAGCCCAGTTCGAACATAGTGATGTTTGGTTTGATCCGGACTCAAGCCTATCATTCACTTATAAATTATAGAAATAAATTATATACGGAGTATATCTTAAAATTTAAACGTTTCTAGTGCAATTTTATAAATTTATTAATGATTATTAAAGACTTGAGTATTTATTAATGAGTGTAGTCTAAACTTCTAAATTTGAGCGTGTTTATCGTGTGTTAAAATCAAACACCGAAAATCTATCGAACCCAAATCGAGCTCAATTTCATGCTAGGAAAATATTCATTTCATTTTCCTTTCTGGCAATATGTTCATTATCCATTCTAAAAACATTTTCAATGTTGGTATGAATTCAAATACTTCTATAACATTATAAAACTAAAAAGAAAAAAACAACCATTGTACATAAAACTAATAAGTATTCCCAATTCCAAAACTCAATTAAATTTTTTAAATATTTCTTACATGTTCATACAATAAATAAATCATTCTCTAATCTTTAATTTTATCTTAAATCATTATAAATTTATAATGAATAAACACAATTTTATTATCTGCTAAAAAATCAATTAATAATCAAATACAATTACAAAATTTAAAAAATACACAAGATAATACTTTAAAAGAGTATAAAAATTAAAGTATACGTGGAGAGTGGAGGGCCGGGAGCTGGAGTGGTGGAGGTGGAGGGCAGAGTGCTGGACTGCCTGGTCGCCTACTCGCCTGGACAGCCGGAGCGATGGGGACGACGCAGGGACCTAAACGGCAGGCGGAAGCGCGGCTGGTGGCCGCAGGTCGGCTGATGTTCGCTAGACTCCCTCTGGCCTTTCTGCTCTTCGCGCTTGCACTTCGTCTTCGCAGTTGCGTTACTATCGTAGGGAGTTGGGAGGCGGGGGCTTGGCAGGGTTTTAATTTGGGGTAATTACCCGTTTGATATACTAATGTGCTACTCCCTCCATCCCTATTTGATTTTTAAAATTTCCTATTTTGTTTTTCTCAAAATGATTTTCTACTTTCTTTTTTAGTCGTGTAAATAAGTATAAAATGACAAATTTACCCTTTTTTTACATTTTTCCATTAACTTAAAGACATCCACTTTTAGAAAGATGGACTAAAGTGTAAATACAAGCATCATTTATTGTCATTCCTTAATTCTTGTCCCGGTCAAAGTTTGCAATTCTATTCGGGACGGAGGGTGTATTTGATATGCTAATGTGCTATTTGACACCGGAGCCACACATTCCTTTGTATCTCTTGAGTTTGCTAGATCCTTAGCAACACAACAAGATAAGTTAGATTATAAGTTCACCACAGCACTTTCGTCGGGAGAGATCATGTTGTCGACTCATTGGTTACGAGCAGTGCCAATGAGTATTGCAGGGAGAGAGTTATTTGTGGATCTGATCGTGCTGGACATGAGGGATTATGATGTGATTCTCGGCATGGATTTTCTACATAAGTATAGTGCTTCTTCAATTATATGTCGAAAAAGAATTGTATTAGTTTTGCGCTTACTACGTCTGATCCTTTTTTTTCCTTGGGGAGCCAAAAGGATCATGGAGAGTAATGATTTCTGCATTGCAAGCAAAGAGACTTATTCAGAGTGAATGTGAAGCTTTCTTAGCTCACATAGTAGACAAGAGCACTCGAGAACCCATTGAGTTATCTGAAGTTCCCAATTGTGGAGGATTACAGTGATGTATTCCCCGAAGACCTTCCAGGTTTACCACCAAGTAGAGAGATTGAATTCGAGATTGAACTGCTGCCCGGTACTGCCCCAATATCTAAAGCTCAATATAGAATGGCACCAGCGGAGTTACAAGAACTCCACAAGCAGTTGCAAGAGTTGCTAGAGAAGGATTTCGTTCAGCCCAGTTACTCACCGTGGGGAGCTCCAGTATTGTTCATGAAGAAGAAGGATGGCACAATGAGGTTGTGCATAGATTATGGAGAGCTCAATAAATTGACTATCAAGAATAGGTATCCCTTACCTAGAATTGATGACCTGTTTGACCAGTTGAAGGGAGCGGTGATTTTCTCCAAGATTGACCTTTGTTCAGGTTATCATCAGCTAAGAATCAAGGAAGCAGACATCCCAATAATAGCTTCCAGGTCGCGGTATGGACACTATGAATTTGTGGTTATGCCTTTCGGCCTAACTAATGTTCCAGCGGCCTTCATGGATTTGATGAATAGAGTGTTCAGGGAGTTTCTTGACAAGTTTGTCATTGTATGATATTTTGATCTACTCAAAGTCCAAGGAGAAGCATGAAAAACACTTAAGAGAAGTACTGGAGACACTTAGAAAACATAAGCTATATGTTAAGTTTTCAAAGTGTGAGTTCTAGCTTGATCATGTAACATTCATTGGCCACACAGTTTCAAAGTAGGGAGTTTCGATGGATCCCTCAAAAGTAGCGGTTGTCTAAAATTGGAGCAGTCCGAAGAATGCAAGAGAAGTTCGAAGTTTCTTGGGTCTTGCGGTGTATTATAGGAAGTTTGTGGAAGGCTTCTCTGTTATAGCTCTTCCATTGACTACCTTGACCCGTAAGGGTAAGAAATTTGAATGGACTGATTGTTGTGAGAAGAGTTTCCAAGAGCTGAAAAATATGTTGACATTTGCACCCGTTTTAACACTCCCAGAAGGCAAGGAAGGGTTTGTTATCTACACAGACGCATCGAAGATGGGACTTGGAGCAGTTCTTCTGCAGAATAAACAAGTAATTGTTTACGCTTCTCGGCAACTCAAGGACTATGAAGCGAATTATCCTACCCATGACTTGGAGTTGGCAGCGGTGATACATGCGTTGAAGATTTGGATACATTACTTGTATGGAGTCTAGTGCAAGATCTTCACAGATCATACAAGTCTGAAATACATATTCACACATAAGGACCTCAACATTAGGCAAAGAAGGTGGCTTGAGCTAGTGAAAGACTACGATTGTGAGATCCTTTATCATCCGGGGAAATCCAACAAGGTAGAAAATGCACTTAGTAAGAAGTCTTTTGCAACATTAATGTCCATGATGGTACTGAATCCAAGGTTGAGGAAGGAAATTGAAGATTTTAAGCTGGAGATTGTAGATGGGCGACTAGCAGGTATGACAATGACTCCATCAATATTTGAGGACATGACTATGAAGCAAGAACTTGATCCTGGGTTGGTTAAATTGAAGGAGTGTCTCAAGGAGGGAAAACGTCCTGAGTTTGGTTTGGATGAGAGTGAGAGATTATTACTCCAAAATAGGTTGTGCATCCCGGACATTGAGGGGTTGAGGAAGCAGATTATGAAGGAGGCTCAGAATACACCATTTACTATGCATCCTGGTTCGACCAAGATGTACAATGACTTGAAGATAAGCTTTTGGTGGTCAGGGATGAAGAAAGATGTTGCAAAGTTTGTTCGATCATGTTTGATGTGTCACCAAGTTAAGGCTGAACATCAAAGACCAGATGGAGAACTTCAGCCTATCCAGATTCGAGAGTGGAAATGGGATGAAATATCAATGGACTTTATTATGGGTTTGCCGAAGACAACTGGAGGTTATGATGCTATATGGGTTATAGTGGACAGATCGACTAAATCTGCTCATTTTATCTCAATTTCAGCGAGTATTTCTTTAGAGAAGTTGGCAAGAATACATATACAGGAGATTGTTAGATTGCATGGTGTTTCGAAGAGTATTATTTCTAGGGGTGGGCAAAAATCCCGGACCCGGTGTCCCAAACTGAAAAATCCTGATACCGTTCCGAAACTATCCCGGTCCATTTAGGATGCAATTTTTTCATCCCGAACCGGTCCCGTACCGATATTAACCGAGATGGGACCACGATAGCTATAAAAATCATGTCCCATCCCGGTGTCCCGTTTAAATTAGTAGATTATTTTAAATTTCTAATACTATGTAATAGCCAAACTCAATTACAACTTTTTAACCCTCAGTCTCCCTAGTTTTATTTTATCTTATTCGTGTCTCTCTTAGTCTCATTTCTTTTGTTTCTTTTGATTAAAATTTGTTTAGTTCTCATTCCGATGCTATTCTATAACATATTATTACGTTCGGAATATTATTTATGATGGAATAACTACTACATCAAAATATAGTGTTGTTATACATTTAATATTTTCCAAAATAACTATTAGAAAATATATATATATATATAGTCTTAATAGATATGATATTTAATTTAATGTGGTATTGAAAAATTACAAGTGTACTACAAACTATAAAAATATTTTGTACTACTATTCTACTAGAGGAAACACAAAATTAGGGGGGACCAAAAAAATTACAAGACAATAATTAAAAATAGTTAATTAGAGGTTTTACTTAACTTTTTAGAGAAGCTAAATTTGCAAAAAATAGTTACGTCTTTATTTTGATGTTATGCTTATTTTTATATCACATTTCACAAATGTATATTTTATGGGCGTCCCGAACCATCCCGATTTTTCTCGGGTTGTTTCGGTCCCGTTTTAAATGGGACAACATTGGGATAAAGACTTATCCCGAACCGTATCGGATCGGGATCGGGATAAGCCAAATCCAGGACCGTCCCGAACCGCGCCCACCCCTAATTATTTCTGACAGAGATTCAGATTTACGTCTCACTTTTGGAGGTGCGTACAACAATCATTGGGCACAAAGTTGAGGTTTAGTACCGCTTTTTATCCTCAGACAGATGGCCAGACAGAGAGAACAAATCAGATTTTAGAGGATATGTTACGGGCATGCGCTCTAGATTTTCAAGGTGGATGGGCAAAATACATTAGTTTGGCAGAGTTTGCCTATAATAATAGTTATCAAGCAACCATCGGCATGGCTCCATATGAGGCGTTGTATGGGAGGAGGTGTAGATCTCCCATGTCATGGTATGAAACATGAGAAAAGAAAGTTCTAGAAGAAGAATTACAAGGAAGGACTGAGTTGATAGATGAGACCTGAGAAGCTATTAAGACTATCAAGCAAAGGATAGAATCTGCGCAAAGCAGACAGAAAAGCTATGCAGATGTTCGGAAGAGACCTCTACAATTCGAAGTGGGGGACTTTATTTTCGTTAAGGTAACCCCGATGAAGGGTGTGATGCGGTTTGGAAAGAAAGGAAAGTTTAGCCCCAGATTCACAGGACCATATGAAATCACCAGACGAGTTGGGAAGGTAGCTTATGAGCTCGTGCTACCCGAAGAGTTTTTGGCATTCATAATGTCTTCCATGTTTCTTTGTTGAGGAAATACTTTGCTGATCCGGAGCATGTTTTGATACCCCAACAATAGAAGTGCAAAAAGATTTGTCATACGAGGAGAAGCCGGTACAAATCCTTGACCTAGAGGTTAGACGTCTCCGGAATAAAGAGATAACTCTAGTAAACGTGTTGTGGCGAAATCACAAAGTAGAAGAGGCTACTTGGGAAGTTGAGGACGACATGAGGCGTCGTTATCACGACTTGTTCTAAGTTTCGAGGACGAAACTTTTATAAGGTGGGAGGGGTTGTAACACCCCGATTTTTATGAGCTAGTTATATTAGTCATTATTAAATTTAGCCAGTTATATAAGTTCTTATATGAATAATGTGGTATATTATTTAACATGTTTTTTGTGGCAAATAATATTGACCAGTAAGCTTTAACAATTTTAAGTAAAGAAATAATTAAGGTTCTAAAGTTTAACTAGTTTTTTAAGAGATTAACTTCATTTTGTTTAGTTGGGCCTGAGACATGTTGCATAGTAAGTAAGGACCCAAATCAGTTAACTTGGTGAAATAAGTATTTTATTAAAAGCCTTGAGAAGTCAATAAGAGGTATACGTAAGTATATATATCAACCCTAAGAAAATTTCCACAAACACTATTTTCCTCCTATCTACAACCGTTGACCCGTTTCTCCCATCTACTGAAAACAATTTTTCCTAAATTCATTCATCAAAGAATTTCTCTCGGGGTTTCAAATCCCTATTTCACTTCCGGTAAGTTCAATTCTTCCACTACGCTTTATTCAGATGATAACATCCTTGATCAAGTATATTTATTTCTTTGCTCAGTAATCATTTTCTCTATCTCTGTGAGTATAGATGTCCGTAAATGAGTTTTCTACTTTATTTATAATTAAGAGAGCTATTTTGGGAGTGATCAGTTAGATTCCTTCAAATTAATTTTAATAAAATTTCTACATGTCGTTAGGTTAATCATAAAGTGATAACTCTGGTCTGTACTCCTCTCCACAATTGGTTTTTTTTCAATCGGATGGTAATAAATTTTTTATTCTAAGTCAGGTAGCTCCTAAAATTGGCAGTCACTCTTCAATTTGCCTTCTGCTGCAGTTATATTTCACCAATTGGAGTTTTGTTTTAGCACTTAAAAGTTTTGTACGTATGAGTAGGCTAATGTATGAGTAAGCTAATGTATGAGGACTAAGAGAGTTTTTCGTTGGTAAATCAGATCTATTTCGGATTAAGATAAAAAATAGACTATTATAGTCTTCATGTTTAGAACATAACAGTAGAATATGTAATTTCGCTTACATACTTCAGCTGCACTTTGGAAAATTCTTACTTTATATTATTCTATAACTAAAGATATAAGAGAAGAGCTTATTGGAGGACATTATCACGGTACCACACATCTGAGTAATTTAAGTTCAGCTTTTGACAGGTAAGTTCACTACCACCAGCACATGTTTGTTCAACCAAATCAAAGGAAGAAGTCTAGTTGATTTTAGTAGATGGTTTTAGACTATTTGCTATTATGTGAGCTTGGTGAATTATTCGAAGAGTTAGTTAAATTGTTGGATTAAGTTATGTTTATTATCTAGCATAGTCAAGATTATGTCAGTACTTTATTTCAAGATTTTAATGATGTTTTTACCCAAACGTCACCATAAAAGGAACTAATAATTAAAGTGAAAGATTAAGTGATATGTACTCGGGAACAAGTTCCCACAGAGTTACCAGTTATCAGTCTCAGAGAATCCGATATGTTTAGTGGGTCGCTCCCCTGAGCTGTCGGATTGGCGCCTTTGAGTACATATCATGGGCCCACAGAGTTAAAATTTACCACAAAGAATTTTATAGAAAGTTTATAAGATCTGTTTCGGAAAGTTTTTACGAATATGTTTTGAGAAAGTATTTCTTTTGAGATCTCCTTCAAAAGTTATTTGAAAAAAAAAGTTTTTTTTTTTCAGAAGCTATTTGAGAAGTTATTTGTGAAGCATTTTTAGGTGCATGCTTATAGTCTAAATTTATCTATTGATAAATTGGCATAGACTTCTAAATACTATTGTGGATCCATAGTGACTTACTAAGCGTAAAGCTTATCAGTTTCTTTCTTCGCATGTATAAATACTAAGGGTAAGGCCAGACCTAGGAAGATGACGAGGGAGTGGAACGCGTGCCAAGATGAGTTAACGGGAACGACCTTGACGGTTTCTAGCTAGTTATTATTTTATTTTAGTATTTCAATTGTTACAATAAAGAGATTATTATTAATTAATTTATTTGAGGATTAGAAGTTTGAATAAATTCCTGGATCCAGGTGGTTATCACATTTGCTGGTGATAACTAGATTTTATTGAGTTTTTATTTGGAGTGATATTTTCGTTATATTTGAGATTTTATCAGGATGCTTCTCAAACAAACGACTGTTATATTACAGTTTTTTATTACGAAAAATAAAAAGAAAACTAAAGAATATGACACAACTAAGATATAAAAAAATGAATTTAATCTAGGAAAGAGTACTAGAAATGACAAAAAGATATATCCCAAAAAAGAAGATAAAATTACTATTCTAGACAACACTGCTACTAAATACTAATGGTAGTTTCAAACCCAGATGATTCCAAAGTAGTATCCGATGTCCATGGATCGAGTGGCGGAGTTAGAGCATCTCGACTGGGGTAGTGAATTGGAGCTGTAAAGCCCATCCTACACGGCATAAGAGAAAGATAGGGATAGAAAGATTATTTTAATTTAATATAGAAAAAGCGGTGTGTATGAAAAATGAAAAACAAGAGAGAGATAGAAATAAATTGTAGACAGTGTCTATGACAATGTTCACAAGTAGACTTTACACAAGAATCATTGAGCAAAAGTGAATGAAAAGTGAGTTAGAAGTGATATAAAAATGACAAATTAAAATAAATATGACGATATGTAGATGAGTAGATCCTACATAGGGGTGGACCAATTTTGGTCTGCCCGGCCCGGGAACCGAACCGGCTCGCCATTGTGCGGGACCTGGTTGTCTAGGACCCGACCCGGGTGGTGTTTTGGAGGCGGGCTTGGAGTACAGGTTCTTCGAAACCGGCCCGACCAGCCCGGGCCGGTTCCGGGCCTAAACCCCCAATACAAAAGCCCGGTTTGGACCGACCCGAAGCCCGGCCCAGCCCGGAACCGGTTCATGCCTAGTCCTACACATGAAATTTGTGAAATAAAAATTGAGAACCATGTGTTACAGTGTTAGAACGTGTAAGATAATAGACATCCTCATTGGAGATTAATATTCAGGGTGTTAAAGATCAAGAAAATTGAAATTTTTAGTACGAGCAGAGGTTAATATTTTTAATAAGATAAACAAAATTTTAAAATCTTAATAAGCCTATATACTCCATATATTTTTAAATACTCCATATATTTTTAGTCCCCGCAAATATGACACTTTGTATCAAGTCCCTACAAAATAATTTTTATTTTTCATCCATGTCAATGCTGCCATGCATTATTTTATTTTTAGTCCATCACTAACTCCAAAACCGCTCTACTGAACTATAATATAATCTCATAGCCACTTATATGTAAAAATTGAATATAAGTTACATGGACTAAGTTACTACTATAGTCATTACACTTGAGCCATATTTTAGTCACATATATATAATTATTTCATTCATGAATACAAACTGAACCTTCTATTTGAGAATAAGCAATAAAACTCAAAAAGAAGGAGTAACTGCAACCCCACACAGGCAAAGGATTGGAAGGAGACGTCCACCTACGTTTGGTTAATAGCGTATTGGCTTCAATCCGCCGTTTTTTTCAAATGAAAACGCTGCATTTTGCAGCGGTTTGCTCCAAATCCCCCCAAAAACAAACAGGGCCGTCAACTGAGCAAAAACCGGAACAAAAAAGAGCTAAACTCCATTCTCCTATCTTCTTGATATCATTCTCTCTACCAACTTCTCCACAATCAACTTAATTGCAGGGGCGCTTGCTGGACACTTGTTATCCGTAAAACAAGATCTCCCTTCCTCAGCTGCCTTACCGAGTTGGGGATCCAAAGGTACGGCACCAAGAAACGGAACACCCATATCACTGCACATTGCAGCGGCCCCACCCCGGCTAGTGTCAAACACTTCGCTATAAGCAAACACATTCAGCATTTCCGGCACCTTCTCCCTCATACATTCCATGACCAAATCCGTAATATCCACCTGCTCCTCACTTTCAGTAATCCTCATGAATTTAAACTCTGATAACGGCTGGCAAAGACCGCTCATGTTCTCAACAACTCCAAGAACGAGTAGCCCAACTTTCTTGCAAAAGCTTATTTCCTTCCTTACGTCTATGAGAGACACTTGTTGTGGGGTAGTGACGATGAGGGCCCCATCTATTCCTGTTGACTGGAGGAATTGGACTATGGAGATGTGCTCATCCGACGTCCCAGGTGGGGCGTCAACCACAAGAAAATCAAGATCGCCCCAATAAACATCCTTTAGGAACTGTTTGATTAAACCATTCTTGCGTGGCCCCCTCCATATGACGGCCTCATCAGGGTCAGGGAGCATGAATCCAATTGACATGACACCAAGGTTGGACTCAACATAGACAGGGGACCATCCAAGGTTGCTCTGGTGAATCTCTTGACCTTCTAGACCGAGCATCTTAGGTATACTTGGACCGCAGATATCAATATCAAGGAGACCAACTTGGAAATCCATGGCAGATAGTGTGAATGCAAGCTGGGCAGAGAATGTGCTCTTTCCGACCCCACCCTTTCCTGATAAAACAAGTATCTTGTGCTTCACTGTTGCCATTCTTTCTACTATTGCTACCAAATCTGCAAGGAGTGCAATAAAACCAGAAGTATTATATTAATTTTTGTGTTCAAATATTCCATGTGCTGTTGCATTTACACGTCAAACATTATTTTATGATAGTGGGCTTATATTAATATCGAGATATCATGCAACACAACCTCGAGACAGTTATTACTTATTATATATCCGATCGTAAGCCCATGAATAGACATACAGTCAGCCACCCTATACAAATCAATCTGACTCGCTAAACACAAAACAGACAATTTTAAGCCTAAAACAACCGGGACCGAAGCATTGCCCATCAAAAGTACTCCAAATATTCAAATATCCAAACTAAACCTACTCAAACTAAAATAAAAACCAAGTACAACTAGAGAAAAAATAATACTGAAATAAAGTCTATCCACAAATCTCTTCCTGGCACAAAGGTAGTACACAAAGAACATTTTTTGCCTTTCAAATAATGGATATAAGTGTTTCTACCACACAATCAGATGAATACAGTTATATAGTAAAGAGTATAGCACAAAAATTAGTACACAAGTTAACTTTTTTTGTTTTGCTGATTTGGCTAAATGAAAGGAAATGGCATTATTAACCTTATTCTTGAATGTAATTTCAAGCATTACACACACAAGAAATATTTGTAAATAATCCAGCTCACTCATCCAATAAGACAACTCAACAACAGAATCCAATTATAAGCAACTCAGCCATTTTCTATCCTTACCATACTAAGCACCCGAAGTCCTAAGTAATACGCAGTGTAACTTTTCACCACCAAATTAATATGTGCCATGTAAGAAGTACCCAATAAATGTACATAAAAATGTACATGTATCATTACACCAGGAGAGGCACAACAAAGGGAGTGGACATGAAGAGTTCCCAGGCGCAGCAAAAGCATACGAAGCACATAAGCCATAAGGTGCACACTTAAAGCGAGATGGTCAAGATTTTAAGCTGATTTTTGTTTCCACATGGATTAGGGCCTATTTTTTCAGAAGCCCACATTCATATGTACACATCAGTAGGTTATCTGATCAAATGGAAAAACCCTCCACCTAAAATAGTAGGACTGGGTGCATGGGCTTGGGTAGTACTAGAGAGAGTTTCAAAGTTCTTTTTCTTGGTAGATTTCTCTCCTTCAGTGATGATGGAGGTGGTGGCTAGACATGGGTGATGTTAGTAGAACAACCTTAGCATAAGTCCATGAGGCCATGAGATTTGCTAGGAGTTGGGATTTGGGTTTGACTGTAAAGAACATTGCATTTTTTGCTTTGTTATGTATACTGTGACCTATGAAGTTGGTGTTTTTTGTAAATCATGACTTTGTTTTTACAAAAACAATTGGATTGACTATTATCAAGGATCATGTTCATATCATTGTTATGTTTATATTATCTCCGTCCCAAAAAGGTTTGCCATATTGACTTTTCTTGATCAATGATGATAAACTTTAGACAATAATTTTAATTGTTATATTTGTATGTAATACATGAATTTCATACTTTTATGAAAATAATTTTAATAGGGACTATTTTAATATAATTTTGTATTAAAAAATATATTGGTCAAAGTAAACTATCATTGACCATGAAAAGTCAATTTGGAAAACCTTTTTGGGACGGAGGGAGTATTATTTTTGTTGCATATAGTTCATTTTTATAATGAATATATCATGTTTGATAAATAAAGAATAATATAGATACTATTTTCACGAGGGCTGTAAACAAGTCACGTGTGAGACTCTAGCACCTTGAGTGAGCTTTATGCTTTCGAGTTTCGACTACCTTGCATGTGCCATGTAGTTAATGTACACAATAAATAGCAGAGCAGCTCGTGCACATTGGCATCTCTACAAGGCGAGGCTCCGGGAAAGGTCCTACCACAATGGTGTAAAGGAGCAAGTCTTCCCTTATCATATTGACAAGAGGCCTTCTAATAGGACCTATATAGTACTAGTTATAAGAACAATATTGAGTATTGGATATTGTATAATAAAAGTCCTAGGCAAAATAACTCAGGGCCGAGGGCCGGCCCATTAGAAAAGTATTATAATAATGGGCAGGTATGGGGAAAAGGGGTAAGCAGAACTTGGGACTTGGGCTGGGATTTTGGGAGAGATAGGACTGCTCTAAATGCCTAATCCTGTATTGTTTCATTTCATTCTTCATTTACATTCATAAGAGACATCAATTTCCCTCTTTTGATCGTGGTTTCTATCATTGGTATCAGAGTGAGGATGCCCGTAACCAGAGCGAGGATGGAAAACCGGCTAGATAACGTGAAACGGAAGATGAACAACATGGAACGGAAAGTGGAGAAGGTACGACCGCAAATGCAGGAAATGCAATCGACGATGGGAGGGACGCAATATCAAATGGAGGGGATGCAATCGAGTCTGGATGAGTTGAGCCAGATCATACTCCACCAAGGTCGCAGGAGACCTAGAGGCCGGTTGAGAAACCCTAGGCGCCATCGGGAGCCTGAAAGCCAAGGTTCAACTTCATTGCAAACATCTTCCCCGTGTTCACACACTTCGTCAATCTAAAGATTCCCGTTCGCATGCTTCGTCACTCACCAATCGTCATCGCCCAGTTCGCAGTTGTCGCTAGACGATTCTCACAGTTCGCAGACTGTGTCGCAATCAGAAGTCCCTAGTTCGCAGTTGCTCGTCTATCCCCACAGTTCGCAGACCTCGTTGCAATCAGTTGTTCTGAGTTCGCAGGATTGGTCGCCATCAGCTTGTCACAGTCCACAAGTTCCATTGCTAGGTCTGGAGCCTGTTAGCTGGCGGCAAGCCGGCAACCTTCCTCTGAGGATGCGTTCACAGATGGCTATGATGAAAGCGAGAATAGAGTTCAGCCAGTAACTTCTGAAAATGGTAATAATCCGAATGCTTCACATGATCAAAAACTTCCCCACGATGTTGAGATTGGGCTACAGCCAGACACTGAGGTTGCAGGAGTGCAAAATATGAGACTGTTGGGAGTTACTGTCAATCCTAGCTCAACAGGTGAACTGTCAAATGGAGTTGAAGCATTGTTTAGCTCAGTATTTTCTGATGAGCAGATTAAAAAGGATGAGAATGCTAAGGGGATGGACACAACTTCTGCCACTGGTGAGGTAATTGATGCAGTAAGAAACATTAAGAAGGATAAAGAGTTAACGTTTGATCACAATTATGTTCTTGTGTGGTGCTACTGCTGCAAAAACAGGTGTAGGTGGTAAACCTCAGGAAAGCAAAGAAACATTTGTTGCTATTGAAGGCTTGAAGGCTACTTTGTTGCAGAAACATTTGTGATTTGGAAGGATCAAGTACTGAAGCTCCTCGCTCAGAAATCAGTGAGATATTGGGAAGAAAGAGGTGTGAGGATGAAGCCGAATGGCATGGCTGCTTCTTACTCCCCCACCTTGAGGACAAGGTGGTTGTCAAGGAGGAGTGATGATAGGACCTAGATAATACTAGTTATAAGAATAATATTGAGTATTGGATATTGTATAATAAAAGAGTCCTAGGACTAATAACTTAGGGCTGAGGGCTGGTCCATTAGGAGAGTATTATAACAATGCGCAGGTAAGGGGGAAAAGGGATAGGCAGAACTTGGACTCGGGATGGGATTTTGGGAAAGATAGGACTGCTCTAAGTGTCTAATCCTGTTTTGTTTCATTTCATTCTTCATTTACGTTCATAATAGACATCAATTTCCCTCCCAAGACATAAACCCATGAACTCTCGGTCACACATCAATATAGTAACCGGTGCGCCAAGATTTCCCTTCGAAATAAACATGCATATGTAAACTTATTCTTAACTATAACCTACTTAACTATAACCTACACAATGAACTTACTGATGTTCAAAACCCAAATAAATAATTTGGTCCTAAGAAATGCAATAGATTGGCATGATTCACACACTCAAAATGTTCCAAGAGATTTTGAGGTCAGCTAGTATTTCATGTAAAAAATTGAAAAACTTTATAGATGTAGAAACCGAAGATGAAGTTTATGTAAAAGCATAAAGGAGTGGCCAACACCAACTCTCTGAGATAGCTCAAATGATTTTTCACCGTCATTTGAAGGACGAAAGCCCAGGACAACAGGTGTTTTGTTTGGTACTTAGATATATACATTTGAGAATCGGATAATAAAACGAAACAGTACTGGTGAGTAGTGATTGCCCAACAACTAGTTGCGGTGGAAATATTTTGCCACATATGCAGGAAGAATCCAAAGGTGTAAACACAATATTTTCATACAAAAAAAGTTGATGAATCGTAATAATATTACAATGGCAAAGTTTATGCAAGGTATTGGAAAATCAAAGGGAACATAGTAGAGTCAGGCTAACATATGTTCTCCCAATGTCACAGGATATGCAAAACATGCAAAAGACTTAACCTTTGAGGAGCTCATGGACATGAAACCCGAAACAAGAAGCGTAAATAAATTTAGATCTCTTTTTGGTACAACTAAGAGTACGAAAAGTGAATAAATTGAAGTCTCTGTTTGGCAGCCATGGACGTAGCTTGTATGCAGAATAAGTAGCTTTTCGTAAATTACAGTCACCATCCAAATAGCGCTTACAAAAGGGGCATTGTAATTTTCATGGAAAAGCAAAGCAGGACATAACCTGGGTCAGGGCCTTTGGGAGCAGTAGCACAAATTTGCTGATTGGGGCAACCTTGGCACGCATCGGATTTCCCTGCATCTTCCGATTGAGTACCGGGACAGTCTGAAAAAGAAATCACAGAATGAAACACAAACTGGAAAAGAAAAGAATAGTCAAGCAACCCCGCAGCCAGATCTAGCGTACTTCCTCAGATCTCTGTCAGCAGATCTCGCTGAATCGTGATGCAACGGCAATGCCGCCCGCCCGCACAGGCGATCCCACAATTCCAGAATCTTGTGATGGTGGATCCCTCTGCGGCGGTTGGCGCCCTCATCTCTGGATTACAGCAGGTGCTGCCCACGCTGCAATCCCAGCCAACAACTGTTGTGGCTCCACATGCCACTAGGCCTATCTCGCCGGCGAACTCTAGATCCCGGTCTCTGAGGGTAGGCTCCATTGACGCCCCTGGTGGTGGATAGGCCAGCGCAGATGGTCTATCAATCTCCCCCTCGCCAGAGAGCTACGCCATCGGTGGCTTCTGCAGCACCTGTGAACGATGTGCCTCTAACACAGCAGGCGGGAACTTCCCGCCCTACTGCGGCACCGCAAAAGGCTCCACCGCCTCCTCCCGCACTGTCGACGAAATACACGGCACGCCGTGTTGATTACGGCTGCCGCAATGATGAAGGCGTCTACGCCGTCACCACTGAGTACTCCTCACAGTCCTTCTCCCCGCAGGGACAACAACAGGATGACAACCCCAATCCCTGGATTGAAGTGGGAAGGCGTCCCATCTTCTCCAGATTGGGAGACAGATCTATGGCGAATCAGCGCCTATCTGTCAACATTCGGGGGATCAACCGGGCGAATTCCCCAGTTCTCAGCATCCCCCGACAACATCAACAACAGCCTAGGAGAAGGACTCGAGAGCGTATACGCGCTTTGGAGAGGCTAGGGGGCAATCGTTCCCCCAAATTCGCCCCCTAATCCCATCAGCAGATGCCTTCTTCCCCAAGGCAGCAACGCGCTTCTCCACCGTTCCAACCACAACAACAACAACCCCTACGCCAGCCAAGGCTCTCACCGCCAAAGCGGCAGGTTGAATCTCCACCACGGCGCCAGCGCCAGGTGGATCCTAGAGAGGAGCAGATCCGCCTCCTTACTCAGCAGATCAATGAGTTGCGGGCTGCAGCAGTCACAGCGGCACCGCCACCGCCCCCCAGCACACGGCGCGTGACGCCCAGCTGGAAGCTCTGGCACTCCAGGTCCCGCAACTGCAGGCTCAGGTCAACCATGAGCCCGTCACGGTGAGGGTAAGGACGGCTACCCCTTTCACCGCCCGGATAATGCAGGCCCGTATTGTGACACTCCAAAAATTTAAATAAAAATAAAAATAATTTTTATTAGTCAGATAAAATATTACGAAAATAACATTTTTATAATTAATTGAGTCAGACAAAAATTCAACAGTGGTAACATTCTAATCAGATAAAATTTCAAAATTTATGACGTTTTAGTCAGATAAAAATATTTCAGTAATAAGAACATCATTTTATTAAACAAGTGGACCAGACAGAAAATTAACATTTGTGACACGTTTAGTCCGACAAAAATGGACCGATAATAGAAGTAACGTTTTTACTTATGATAATTAGGAAAGTGATATTTTGTAACAGGTGATAATTATATATTTGGCATAATTAATAAAAAGTGATTATAAAAGTAACATTTTAAGAATAGGCTATTAAACAAGAGGAAACTATGTACATACAAATACACATTAAAAATACTACGTACGTGCTATTTGACTCCTAGGCTAATACTACTTAGTACATACGTTTGTGACTATTAATAATATACTCATGTACGTACGTTTGTATGCTAAAGAGATTGAATTTGGACTAGAATAGAAGCTATGTACGTAGAACATAGTTATCAAAATCCCAGCCGGCAAATAAGTCTCCTAGCATAAATAAAACTTCGCACGAAGATGTAGAGATAAGAACGGAACCGATTGAATTTATCTTCAACTCAAATACAGCCTAAAACCCTCAAAATACACCTATAAATAGCGCCCTTCGCCTGCGTTTTTCTTTCATCCCCACAAGCTGCAAAACGTTAATCTTATACATATATACATAAATATATACGTAGTATATATATAGGCGAAAATCCAACACAGCGTTACACTAAAAACCGAGCCTTGAAAATACTCTAGAAACCTTCCCCTTCGTGAGAGGAATCCAACGGCGAAAGAATCGTTGAAAACGAACGTGAAACGACGGAGTTATCACTCGCCGGAGTTTCGCCGGTTTGAGATTCGACATCGAAGAACGGAGGAAAAAGGAGAGCTGCCGCTGCCGCCAACCTAGCACCGCCCTTCGCCGCCCTGCTACCACCGTTTTCGGCCGCTCCATCGAGGTAAACATCTTCCCCCTGCGAACTCCGTTTCCGGCGAGCTGAGGAGGAAGAAGACGCTGGTCTGTCTTTTGGGCCTTTTCAGGATTGGGCCAGAAAAAATTAAATTGGGCTAGTTCGGCCCAGTTGCAATAAAAATTAAAAATAAAATCGTAAATGAAATAAATAAAATCTGGAAAAATATAAATTAAATACCTAGTATAAATATACGTATTCGGACCAACCAGAATTGAAAAATAATATTTTTAGCTATTTTTAATGGATTTAATTGTATTTGGGCCAATTTATACACATTTAGTAAATAATTAACTAAATAACGAAAATAATTACGAAATAAATATTGGAGTAAACTAGGATAAATATATGACTAACTAGGACCTTATGGACCATTTATAATTAATAAATATTAAGATTTAGTATATTTAATTGTAATTGAACCGGTAAATAGATATATGAAATTAAGTGAATAATTATGGAAATAATTATAAAATAGATATCTGGACAACCTAGGTCAAATATAGACCCAAAATATAGTTATAGACGGTTTTTAATTTATAAAGTCAATTCTTAGTCTATTTAATTTAATTGGGCAATATAAAACTAGTTAAGTAATTAAATAAGGGAATATTAATACTAATGGTGAAATAAATAAATCACTAAGATTGAAAAATAATATTCTGGACTAAAAATGATGTTGGAATAAAATAAGGAAAATAAAATAAGGTTGGATTAGCTAACATAAATAATTGACTATATGTAGACTTAATAAATAACTTAATTACGTAATTAGTGGACTAATTCAATTAATAATTTTTATGAGTGATTATTAGAGATTCGGACCTCATATAAATATTTAAAATATTTGAACTCATAAATTAATGGGTTAATATAAATAAAGTAATTAAATAATATTTTTTTTAGTAGAGTAAATTAATGGTGGTTATTGAATAAAAAATAGGATGTTGTAGTTATTTATATTCGGATATTGTATTTAATATTAGAATTCAAATATTGTAATTAATGGCTGAAATAATAAGGTAATTTGATTAATAAAAAGTGATTAATCAAATAAATTCGAATAACTAATAAATTAAGTTAATAAATTCGAATAATAAAATAAAAGGAGAAAATCGGGTAAAATAATTACAAAGAGAATAAGTGACTAATTATATCATCTTAATTAAAAAGGTGAATATTTAGAGACCGGAACTGAAGAAGAGAATTAGGAGCATCGGGATTTAAGGTAAGTTTCACATCCCTGTAACACCTCGGGGCCCCACACGGACCCGAGGTAGTTATTCTAGACCTCTAGTACTGTCCCCACAAACCACCACGAGCCTTTACCGCGCACTTTGTCCTCACTCATGCGCGCCCTGAGAAACTTCCCAGGGGGTCACCCATCCCAAGACTACTCCCGTGCAAGCACGCTTATCTTTGGAGTTCTTGGGTGATGAGCTCCCTTAAAAGGAGATGCACCTCTGTTGGTATGAGTAGTACTATTAATCCTCTTAAATTAATCTCGGGTATTACAATCACCCCCACTTAGGATCGCAACGTCCTCGTTGCGCCCTTAACACTCTCAATCAAACCCCAGAATCTTGCCCCGCTAAGTGCCTGCCCGATATCTAACGGGTCAACACACTGTCGCAGGGTTGCTCTGATACCACCTGTAACACCCCGGGGCCCCACACGGACCCGAGGTAGTTACTCTAGACCTCTAGTACTGTCCCCACAAACCACCACGAGCCTTTACCGCGCACTTTGTCCTCACTCATGCGCGCCCTGAGAAACTTCCCAGGGGGTCACCCATCCCAAGACTACTCCCGTGCAAGCACGCTTAACTTTGGAGTTCTTGGGTGATGAGCTCCCTTATACTTTGGTATGAGTAGTACTATTAATCCTCTTAAATTAATCTCGGGTATTACAATCACCCCCACTTAGGATCGCAACGTCCTCGTTGCGCCCTTAACACTCTCAATCAAACCCCAGAATCTTGCCCCGCTAAGTGCCTGCCCGATATCTAACGGGTCAACACACTGTCGCAGGGTTGCTCTGATACCACCTGTAACACCCCGGGGCCCCACACGGACCCGAGGTAGTTACTCTAGACCTCTAGTACTGTCCCCACAAACCACCACGAGCCTTTACCGCGCACTTTGTCCTCACTCATGCGCGCCCTGAGAAACTTCCCAGGGGGTCACCCATCCCAAGACTACTCCCGTGCAAGCACGCTTAACTTTGGAGTTCTTGGGTGATGAGCTCCCTTATACTTTGGTATGAGTAGTACTATTAATCCTCTTAAATTAATCTCGGGTATTACACGTATACCCCCAAAGTATAAGGGGCCCAACATCCAACTGTATGGGGGTAAATCTGACCCCCAGGAGCACTATACTCATTACTAGTCCGGCATGTATATGTTGGGCGCTAGCAATGAGTACATTTGCAGGATGTTTCCCTCCACTTTAGAGGGGGTGGCATACGAGTGGTTCAACGACCTTCCTGACGAGTCCATTGACTCATGGAGGGAGTTGGCCACACGCTTTCTCACCCATTTTGCCGCCAGGGCAAAGACAAAGAGGCACTTCTCCTCCCTATTGTTCGTCAAGCAGGGCAGAGATGAGCCATTAAGCAAGTTCCTGGAGCGTTGGAACGAAGAGACCTCCAAAGTCTATGGGCAGACGACAACATCCGTCTGTCCATGCTGCAGGAAGTCCTATGGTCAGGTGCTTTCTCCAGGAGCCTCATCATAGATCCCCCCACGGGATTATCAGCGAGCGCTCCACCGTGGGCAGAACTATGCCTTAGCGAAGGAAGTACACAACTGCAAAAGGGCACAGGAAAATGCTGCCAAGCCCCAAAAGTAGGAGCAGAAGCAGCAGGAGAAGCCGAAGCAGCCGTGGGAGGAAAAACCCCGTGATGACAATGAGAGGCACCGA